GTTTACTTCACTTAACATTATGGATTCAAAGCACACCATTTTCCTACAAATGACTCAGCTTACCATTCTTTGTGGCATGGTAGTGCTCCACTGTGTGTAAACACCACATTTTCTGTTGGTGGGCATAGGCTGCTTCTAAGATTTAGCTATTTTAAATTGTGCCGCTGTGGGACTCTGGAGAACATGGCGGACAGACAACAGCAACTACTGAACGCTCTCTAAAGGCTCGGCTCAGAGGCCAGGAATGATGCGGATTAAGGAGATACGAACCAGTAGAGATATGCTCTGCTGACTCAGGAACGAACTGGGCTGAGAGAATCCAACTTGGAATACAGTCCTGGCGCTAAAATAGGAACAGAAAAATCTCGGTGTGGAGGCTCGACTCCGCGCCATTGGAAACCGCGGCTTGGATTTCCCGCTGCGCGGCGGCCGGCTACCTCCACAGCGGCTCAGCAAGGAGAGACGCGACCCCCGAGCTCTGGGAACGGGCGTCTGGGAACGGTCTCGGAAACGCGACGGGCAGGAAGGAAGGCTGACTGGTGGCAAGGTGAGCGAGGAACTGACTCCCTACCGCAGTCTGACTCCAGCGGAGGATTTTCTGGGCGCGGGCAGTCCTGTAAGAGCAGGGCGCAGTGGCAACTGCAGCCGCGCATTTCCCTCTCGGACGGGATTGGTGAAAGGTGCCTGGCCGGAGGGACGCTGCTCGCGGACTCCCTAGGCTGGCCTAGCCCAGATCCCAGAGCCTGACGGTGGCCCGGAGGAGCGACCGACTTCCGCGTAGGCTGCCTCCTCCGCAACTCCCTGGGGCGCAGCGGTGAGCTGGAACAACTAGCCAGCGCAATTCGATCAAGCTGTAGCTGACAGGCAGGGAAGCCGGGCCTCCTGTGTAAGATTACATTTTATAAGGAACAGAAAATATGGGGAAGGGAAGCAACAAAAAAGGCTCCTCGACCCCCAATCCTGAGAATCAGGCAATAGTGGACACTGTACCAATATACATTAAGCGCCATTTAGAGAGCCTCATAGACCAATTCAGGAATGAAGTTATCAATGACCTGAAGCTAGAAGTATGCAGAATAGTTAGAGAAATGCTAAGCACCACCCAGGAAAAAGCAGATGGTGGAGTGGAAGAACAGAAAAAGAGGGCTGAATTGCTTGATGGAGAAAACAGAGAAAGCATTGAGTATGTGAAGCAGGTGCAAAGGGACTATCAAGAAATCAAGAAGTATACCCAAGACTGGCATAACAGCTTGAAAGAAACTAAGGACAGACTATCTGAATTGGAGGGCAGACTTGAAACATGGGAGAATGAAATGAAAAACTTCTTAAAAATAACAAAGAAACACACAGCAATAATACAAAGACAAGAAGATGATAAGAGGAGCCATAACTTAAGGATTAAGAACATAAAAGAAGAAGTAGGGACACAAACAAGTGAACTACAAAAGCTACTCACAGAAATAATCCAGGAGAATTTTCCTAATTTAGCAAAAGGTAAAGATACTCAAATGTATGAGGCATACAGGACCCCAGCTACCTACAACCCTAACAGAGAAACACCCAGGCATATAATAATAAAAATTCCAGAAATTCAATACAAGAACAGAATATTAAAAGCTGTAAGAGACAAGAAACAGATCACTTACAAGGGAAGACCCATCAAAATTACAGCAGATTTCTCTTCACAAACCATCAAATCACGAAGAGCATGGGGAGAAATAATTCAAGCTTTGAAAGATAATAATCTACAGCCAAGATTGAGATATCCTGCACAACTGTCCCTGGAAATTGATGGAAAAACGAGGTGCTTCCAAGATAAAGAGGAACTGGGGGAATTTGCAACCACCAATCCAACCCTACAGAAAGTATTGCAGGATATTCTAAAAAAAGAAAAATACAAAGAACCCAGAAATAGGGGCGGGGAGGCCACAACGAATAGAGCAGAGACCAAAACGAAGAAGACAAACTGACAGCTACTGACAGAAAAAGAGCTCAACAGAAATGAGACAGAGAAGATTGGATGATAGGAACAGCTTTTTTTGGAGAAAATGACATCTTAATAGGTAATGCTGATTTAGTACCATCTTGTTTTGAAGTCTCATCTAGCTTTTGTTCTTCTGTCTCCAATGGTCTAAACAGGTTGTATCTTATTGGATTTTACTATGTACGATAGTATAAGAAAAAACCTTTTAAAGACAAGGAGATTATACAGAGACCATTGTTCATTTTCTGTTAGTCGATTCTAAATACTCTATAATGCTGTTATTCTCTTAAATGGATTTACATTGTTTTGATATACTTAATGCTACAGTATATGAAGTTGTACTCAAGGACTTCAGGGAGGGAGTCAATATGGTAACTATTTTTGGGTCAGGATTAGCTGGTGGTGAAACACTATTCTGCTTAAATGGTTATGTTTTGATCTGCCCTGTTTCGCTGTTATGCCCTCTTTTTTTCTCAATCTCCACTCCATTATTTACTTTTTTATTTTTACCCATTTAATTATAGGGAAAAATATAGCAGGATATAATATAGTAACCCACTTTGACTTTCTATTATCTCAATTTGAAGCCCTGTATTACTCTCACCATCTTGTTTTTGACTGAGGTTCCTATATTCTGTTTTGCTGGATAGTATCAGGTTCGAAAGTTTAGGCATCAGCTGAGAAGATAATGAGATTCATTATAATGCCCATTCTCGTTGACTTTTATCTACTTTTGAAGACCTACAATGTCTCCAATGTTTTGGTTTTGTCGGTTTTATTCTTTACGGTTTTGTTCAATTGTATTACAACTAATGATATAGGCAATTCTATTAGAAATAGCGGGAGGCATTAGGGTAACCATTGTTGATCACCTTGTATTATGTTTTTATATTATCTATTATGTCCACCCTTTTGACTTGACCGATTCTGTTCTGTTATGTCACATTTGGTTTTACTCTCTTCCAAAAAAGCAACAAGAACCGTGGGAGCAATGAAACCCAAAATGTGTAATAGTCACTGTACAAAAGAGAGGAAAAGAAAGTGCTCTAAACTATATAACTGCATGTATATTTAAAAGTATAAGATAGAAAATGATATCACAGAGTTTTATTGGATCATTGAACAGAACTGTTTGCAGTATCATTGGTGGAATGTCCACTCTACAAGCTTTAATTTTGTGACTTGAACAATTATTTCTAAGATGGCAATATGTAATCCATTAACTAGTGATTTCCTACTGCGCATTTTTTTATTCTGTAAATCTGTATAACTTGTACCCCTTCACTGTTTTTTTTTCTTTCTTTTCTTTTCTCCTTAAATAAAAATTAAAAAAAAAAAAAAAAACCATATATCATGCAAACTTAAAAAAAAAAAAAAAAAATTGTGCCGCTGTGAAGATGGCTGTGCACAGCACTGTAACATGATGTCTCTCACTGGGGGGTCAAATGGCGTTTTCACTTTTAGTTTTATGAGGCGCTGCCACAGTAGGAAATCATTTGTTGTTGTTGGTTTTGACATGAGGTCTCTCTGAGACCTGAGTCACCCAGGTTGGTCTCAACCTCCAGAGTAGCTAGGATTACAGGAGCAGCGTGCCAGCACACACGCCCCACTTCAGGGTTTCTAAGCATGATGCTCTGGGCCTACGGTTTCAGCATTCTGGAAGGTTAGATCACAAACTGGAATCCATCCTGGACCATTACTAACTTAGTAAGACCTTGTCTCCAAACTTAAAAAGTCTGCAGATATAGCTCAGTGCCCAGGGCCTGGGTTCAATCATTTTGTACTGAAAAATGCAAAGCTATTTTATAAGGAGAAAACCATGAACACTGTAATTTCAAGAATGCCTAAATTCAAGTCAGATGTGGTATCATATAACTATAATTCTAGCACTCGGGAGGCTGAGGCAGGAGGATTGCCACAAATTCAAGGCCAGTCTGGTTATATAGTAAGTTCAAGGCCACCCTGAACTGTACAGCGAGAGCCTGTTTCAAAAACAGAACAAAACAAAAACCCTAAATTCGACTCACATCTGTGAGTCTACAGTAAGATGAGCTGTCATGGGCCCTGTCACGTTCCTGACCCCAGGCAAAGCAGAATCTGCCTGGAGCCCACTCGCCTCCTGGAGACCTTCATGCTGGGAGCCAGTGCGTGGCTCTTCTGCCTGGCGTAGCCTTCCCCCTGGCTTTTGTTGTCTGGCTGTTTATTTTTGTTTACGGTTGGCTGGTTATTTTACTTGCAGGACACGTACATTTTCTTTCAACTTGCTTTTGCAGCCGTTCACACACTGGGCCATGGATCACCATATATACATGCAGATATTCTTCTGCGTTCATGTAGATAATATCGATGGTCGCATGCATAGCTATCTACGATTCTTCTGGTTTATGAAGATGTAAATAAAAATGCACATAGTGGAAACAAATTATACAAGCTGCTTTGATTTTTTCAGAATAACATTTTGTGTTCTCTTTTTAGAATTACGTCCCCTTACAATAACCTCATAGTCCTCCCCTCCCTTTTCCCCATCTTTATTGATCTCACTTGTTACGACTCCATTAAGAAAAGAGCTGTGCTTTGTTGGCCACGGACCCTCTTGCCTTTAGAACAGCAGTTGGCCCACCATAGTTTTCTGAAACATGTTCATGGAATCAATGAATTCTTCACTCTCAGCACATTTTCGGTGAGGCGGTGGCACAGAGCTGGCGTATAGAAAGTATAAAAATGGTGAGAGAAAAAACAGCCAAATGCAAAGCAAAGAGACTGCATCACTGAGGGCGGCCTCAGGGGACAGCTTTGCAAATGGCCAGACTGTTCAGCAGTATGCTAAATCCTCTGGTACCAATATCTCTCACAAGGTAACTCTAGCTGACTGCTGTAATTTAAAATGTGTTGATAGGCTCGATACACTTGCCACCAAGGTGTATAATGACCTGCATCTCACAAGATAAAATAGGGCACAATTAAAAATTCAAATTTGTTTTGGATATCTGCTACCATTTGTGAGTTCCCAGTTTCCCGGATGTTGGGTTAAATCATTCTTATTTATGTTAAACATTACCAAGAATATAAACAGAACAAGAAAGGCTGGGGAGGGGTGAAATTCATGTCAGGGAGAATATTTTGATCTCCTGCAGGACTGACAGCCTTATTTTCTTCTCAGAAATCCTAGAAAACAGAAAACACAGGAAACTATGTTATTGAGAAACACTCCCTTCAATTTAGACATGAGTCCAGCAAAGAAGAAAAATTCCTCATGTGGAGAAACTTAACCCCAGAATTGATTTGCCAGCAAACTCCTCAGGGACTCAGAATTCAACTTTTCCAAAGCTGAAAGTAGAAAAGAGAACAATGACCTCAGAACAACTGATTTTCAGCCCAGCAGAGGGTGGCAGAAGATGGCTACCTTAGACGCTGGTAAGCTTTAGGCTGCTGCTGTTTATTTTTTAAATAATGCTTTCCTCTAGAGAGATCTTGTGAGTTAAACAAAAAGCAACATCAGCCTCTGTGCTAAACCTTTATCATGTTACTGAAGTTCTTTAAATACAAGTAGTTTATATATTAACTTTTGGATTATAAAAAGCAATATATTACTAAGGAGGTAGCAGAAAAATCACCAATTTCTTTTCATTAGAACACAAGTGATAAACTTTCTTTCTTTCTTTTGTCTTCTTTTTCCTTTTCTTTCTTTTTGTTTTTATTTTTTTGAGATGGGATCTGTGTTACTTAGGATGATCTCAGACTTTTGGGCTTACGTGATTCTCTTGTCTCAGCCTCCAAGAAACTAGGACTACAGGTACACACCACTATTCCTGGCTCTGATCTTTCTTTCAGGATTTTTTTAGTCTTTTTTTATACATATGCATTGTGTTCAGTTAATCAACAAACATTGATTGAGTCCATACTATGGGCCAGTTACTGTTCTAAGTGTTGGAAATGTAGCCATAAAAAAAATCTGCAAAAAACCAAATGTAAAGTCATCTAGTGATGAATGGCATGAAGAAAAATAAAGCAAGCTAAGGAGATGGAGAATGGTAGGTAAGCTGTTATTTTAAACCTTGCATCAGCAGGTTGCGTCAGCAGGGGTTGGCAGCATTTGAACACAGATCAGTTTAAAATCAGTGACACAGAAGGACGAATGAAGCCAGCCACGCGCACATTTGTGAGAGCAGCTTTCCAGGCAAAGGTAACGATAAGGGCAAAGGCCCCAGGTGAAACTGAGTCCAGCATGTTTGGGAGTGACCCAGGATTTCAGGGATGCCAGGATGAGAGAGATGGACAGGAAGACAAGAAAGAGGCAAGTCAGAGAGGTAGGCATCTTTGCACAGTAACTGTTTACAAATTCCCTCTGAGCTTATGTGGAGACCTGATCCTACTTTTGAAACCTGTTGTTAAATTGTATAATCCCTACATTGCTATATGATGTTCATATGCATAATTTTCAAAGCTGTGTAACATTCCATTACAGGCATATTTCATAATTAATGATTTTAACCTCCACACCCCCTACTTTATTGGGTACCTGGAATCAAATTCACAACCTTGTGCTTACAAGAAAGGTGCTATACCACTGCTGTATCCCTGGCCCTAGCTTATTGCTTTTTTTTTTAATACCAGAAACCAAACTCAGGACCTCATGCTTACCAGGTAGGCACTGTGCCATTGAGCTATGCCTGACCCCAGCATAGCCTGACCCTTTTAAAGTAAGCAATGCTGTTAAGGCTTCAGTCTGGATATCCCCCCACCAAAGCCGGCAGTGTGAGCGCTGCACCAATCCAGGGGTGGTAGTCAGCACATAATATAAGGGAAGGAAGGAGGCACGCGCTTCCATTTTGCCCTTCTTGTGCCTCCATGAACGCTGCCACTTACCCATGCCACCCTGTCTTGGAACCAGCTGACTATGGACTGAAAACTCCAAAAACTATAAGTTAAATAAATCTTTCTTTCCTTCATTTTGGGCATCAAATATTTTGTCTCAGCAATAAAAGAAAAGTAATCAAGACAAACTCCCAGAACAGAGATTATACATTCAAGGATTATGAGAATAAATAATGCAAAATCTCCCTCCAAAGTTGCATATCATACATAATACCATCAATATATTATTGATCAAATGAAATGTATTTTTAAAAAAAATTTAAAATGATTTTCTCAAGTATATAAAAATAGAACAGTATAAGATACCTCTATGATCACCTTTATAGTTAGCAGTTATCAAACTGTGGACAGTCTTGTTTATTTCAAATGTACTCTCATTTCTATTAGATTGTTTAGCATCAATGTCATTTTACCAGTACACATGTTAAGCATTTTTTGTAATAAGAAAGTTAATGCCTCCTTTAAATAGACGATCATCTCTATCTGAAAATTATTCATGTTTGTTAAATATTACAATAAATGATGCATTGGGGCTGGGGGTTTAGCTCAGCGGCATAAGCGCCTGCCTTGCAAGCAGGCAGTCGTGAGTTCGATCCCTGGTACTGATAAAAACAAAAAGACAAAAAATAAATAAATAAGTAAATAAACACTGCGTTGCCATTAATCTCCCTCAGAACTCCTCTTCACTTGGAATACACTTACCCCAACGTTCTCACGCTTGCTAAGCAGCATTGGGAGCCCTCTTCGGTGACTTTAGATGTGTGTTGCGGCTGCCTCGGTGTCCAGGTCAGTTCACAGCATTTGTCTTTCACTGTCATTTTGATTTTGAGAAGGAAACAGAAGTCTCGGGGTGCCGGATTTGATGAATAAGGTGGGCTTATTTGAGAGATTATTTTAAATGGTTTCAATTAGTTTAGGCAGCCACCAAAAGATACACAAAAAAGACCTCCAGAACTATGTCTAAAAATGGCAAGAGGGCCGGGGAAATAGCTCAGTGGCATAAGTGCCTGCCTGGCAAGCGCAAGGTTGTGAGTTCGATCCCTAGTACCCAAAAAACAAAACAAAACAAACAAAAACAAGAACGATGTGGAAAGTATGTGTGAAGTAAAGGGGGCATTTTGAGGGAGATTCATGACAATGTGTCTTTTATTATAATAAACTTTTAAACTTTCACCGTATATTCAAACTGTACCGTGTATGATTTGGACTTCTAGGAAGTGATTATTGGCTACCTCTAGCTATGATTAAGTTTACAGGACAAAACCAAACTGCTGGTGATCCCTGCTTGGCAATGCTGTCCTTCGAGGTCACACCTCGCTTCTGCACTCCCGTTCCTCCCTAAGGTCTGCGGCCTCTGGAGTAGTGTTACCTCTGCCCCTAGATGGCTCTCGGACCTGGTTCCTTCTCTCCCTTCTGTTACCTGGCTCTCACTGCCTCTTGCCTGGACCACTGTAAGACCTTCCTCTCCAGTTTCTCTTTCTGAGGTTCCCGTCTTGGCAACCTTCCTCCACACTGCTCCCAAGTACTCTTTCTAAACCACAGTTAGGATGGTGTTTCTCACCTGTTTAAAATCTTCCATGAAATCTCTCCTGCCCTGAAGAGAAAGCCTACGCACCCTCACATGGATTTTACCTAGATCCATTGGCTGTTTCTGCAGGCTTCTGCCACCCCGGCCCCTCCCCACTGCTCACATTCATCCCATGCACCTCACTTTGGGGTTTACTTGCCTTCTCCCCCACGTGCTTCCCCATGTCCAGAAACACCCATCTGTAAGTGCTATTCAAATACTACTTTCTCTTGGAAGCTTCCCAAAAACCACCTCCAGGTTTGGTACCACCATACCTGAGGCTCTGACTGTCACTCAGTGTGTCACCATCTATCCTCTTGCATGCTTCCACATCACATCTCGTCACCATAGTAACTGGTCCCTGCTTGATGTCTCCTTCAGAAAGTTGTTGTCTTGGTTTCTTGAACACCCATACTCCTGACATCTGATACAGTTTTAGGAAACTCACGATTCTCAATTGTAAACAGCACAAAACAACCCTAACAAGATGCAAGTTGTAAAACAGCTTGATGAGAAGCCACTGCTCAGTTCACAGAATTCCCTGGGCAACCAAGAGCTTTATTCAGAGTTAAAGCAGCCAGGAAAAGACCCTCTGTCATTGCACAGAGCTGCACTGTGAGGTCACCGCTGTGCTGTCCATGAAGGGCTGGCCCTGCCCTCAGGGCAGACTTTGGCTCCACTGTTTTATATACTTAGTTTGACTTGAGAGATCTTTTTAGAAAAGCTTCATAGATTAAAACAAAAAAATGAAATATAAGATCTGTGTAGAGAAGTTCACAGATCTTACAAACTAGACTCGTATTTAGACATTTTGACAAAGATTTATCATATTTATTTATTTTGGTAATGGAAGAATAATAAAACCAATATTTAATTACTAGTTTGTCCAGTAAATACTAAGTACTTTTCAAGTAAAAGTCACCATAGAGTCGCCTGACCCTGGGAGATGCTAGTAAATTAAGTCCCTATGCTCCAGAGAATGAGGCAGACAGGAAATGCATCTGTGCTGTAGATGAGGAAACAAGGTTCAGAGAAATGATGTGAATTGTGCATCTTATGGCCCGTGACTTGAACCTCATCTTTTTAAAAAATTTTTATTTAAAGAAAGACTAAACGAAACAGAAAATGGGTCAATGTTCTCAGGGTTGGGACCTGGGGACTTTTTGTTGTTGCTTCCTCTTCCCATCTTTTTTGCTTCTTCCAGGAGGCCCCAGTTTCTTTCTTTGTTGGTTACAATTTTTCTGAAGTGTTCTGGCAAGATGACCCTTCCCACTGCTGTGTGCTAGTGAGTTGCAGACAGGGACAGCATATGCTGGCCCCCCTCTCCAGATCAGTCAAGTTGCTGTGGCCTGAATGACTGTATTACTTTGCTCCGCCTCCCCTCCAGACCAGCCAAACCTCAGAGGCCCCACTGGGCCAATGTGGTTAGTGTGTGCCACTGCCACAGGGACTTGACCTATTGGGATAACCTATTGGGTCTCAGCTGGGTCACTATGACCCAGGCCTAGCTCACTCCACCAATACCGTTTGGGAAGGGAACAATTGACTGAAGTCACTGCTGTCCCTTGTACTTGACAGTCCTACCCAGTCCCACAATTGTTGTTTGCCGGAGCCCCCCTTTCTGTAGTGTTTTCACTCCTGTCACTCACCACAGGTCGATGTAGGCACCCTGCCAACTCAGCCGTCCGTTCGGCTCACTGACCCCCGAACTCAATGTAACTGTGCCTCCAGTGAGTTGAAGCGGTGGGATATTGGACAGCTCGGCAAGTCATGGCGGAGCCTTGGCAAGTCACAGTGGGACATCGGCAAGTCATGGCGGGACCTCAGATGGTTGGTAAATTGCCTTAATTTCTTCTTGGGACGAGAGAATTCGTCTCCCTCTGTTTCGGGCTCCCCACTCTGTATTATGTTGGATTCTAAGTTGACTATCTCAGGGAGTTTCTGTAGCCAGTTGTTATCTATCTGCCGTCTTTGCTCCTCTTCTCCTTGAACCTCATCTTCCAACGGTGCTACCTTGAACTTGTTAGTCATTGGAAAGCATCCTGGAATATGCTGGATTGAGAAGAGGCTCCTGAGTCTGTCAGTTGGTGGCTCTTCACTGATAGCCTGAGAAACGAGTGATTTGGATAGGTGGGTACAGCTACCTGATGGTAGAGGGTTAACTGGTGTAAGCATGGTGAACAGATTGGCTAATGAACATATAGCAGTTTTCCCAGGTATTTGAGAATAAAGAAAATGATCGGCAGAATGGTGGCTTCGGGAGAAAACACAAGAGAGACTAGGTTTGGTGGGGCTGCAGCTCGAGCACTGGTGTAGGCTGGGGGGCAAAACTGCTTGAGACCAAAGAGAGAAAGTAGTAAGAGTCAATGCCAAGATTTTTTTTAAAATTCGAAACAGGGTCTCACTATGCACATCAGGCTGGCCTCAAACTTGAGGATCCCCAGTGCTGGGATGACAGGCTGCACGCCAAACCTCTTTTTTTTTTTTTTTGGAGACATTTTTTTGAAAAATATTTTAAGATATAAAAATAACACACACACACACACGGGGACTTAGCTCAGCAGTACAGGTACCTGCTTGGCAAGGGCGAGGTTTTGAGTGCGATCCCTGGTACAAAATAAGTAAATATATAAGTAAATAAATAAGTAAACAAATGAAATCTGGCTCTCTATCCTCCTATTAAGTGCCTCTAAGTTTCCAAATAGATGACATAGCTAAGTTGTGATACGAAGCACAGAATGATCTTGCACCTGCCCACAGGAAAGAGGCAGACCGCCCTAGAATCACCGTTGGTGCACCATCTACAGCTCTGCTTAACACAAAACAAAGGTAGCCAGATGAAGACGTGCAAAACGGGAACGTGACTCCTGTTTATCTGAAATTTCAATTTAACTGGGTATCCTGTTTTTGTTTTTTCCAGATCTGGCAAAGCTATCCAAAATACCAGCTAGCTAATGTGCCATGATACAAATTGTGAGCCAGAGCAGAGTTAAAAAGATGGGGGTGCTGCCCCCTGTTGGTGGCATATGGCAACACCAACCATCCCCATGATAAGGATGTGCGCCTACCATGGGTTTAATAAAACTGGGAAGTCACAGAAACACTGCGGATAAGGATCAGAGCTTTATTATCCTTCGAATCTAGTCTACACTCATTATAGCTGCAGTCTAAATATCTTAATTTCCACTGGTACTGATTTATTTCTTCTTAGTTATAAGGTTTTATACTTTTTGTCAGGACTAGTTAAATACTTTTGCACATGCAAAACTTATGACCATTGAATTTTAATATACTCTTTCTATATTTTAAAAGTTATATAGATTTCCACTTAAAAACACATTGAAGTCACTATTGAGCACCCATATTTGTTTGTATGATGCATTTTGTGTATGTCTTAAATGCTGGCACATATACAGAAGAGACGTAAACCTGACAGATGAATGGCTGCATGAGGTGCTGGGTGAACTTGCTGTCTTTGTGACTACAGTGATCGCACACCTCACATTGTCACAGAGGAACTCGGGGGGGGGTGTCCTTACCAAGTCCCTATAACAAGGACACACGGGGGGGGGGGCAGGTCCTGAAGGAATGCTTTCGGAAGTGGCAAAAGCTCCCAGCCGCTCCTCTCTGGGTCTGTGTTTGTCAGCTCGCTCCCTGTGGCCAGTTTGAGCTCCTGGTGGTGATTTCAGTGTGTCCAGCTCTTGGCCCGCTTGGTTTGGGGAAGGAAATACGTGTGCTTCATCCCTGACAGTTGTACTTGCTCAAAGTATATGTATTCTTCAAGCAGTGAGTGCTTCAGATGCCGGGCTAAGTTGCCCAGGAATGAACTCTGACAAAAAGCCCTTCAGCACCATGGGCTGCAGAAGGGGCCCACGTCTGAGCCCCCAGCAGGAGGAACACAGGTGAAGTTTGCCTCCCCTTCTGAGGAGAGGGTTCCCAAGGGAACAGGTTAGGGCTGTCGCTGGCCATTTTATTTGTCTTTTCATGAGTTCTATCCTTAGTGGAAAATTTTTCTTCATTCTTATAAAGCTAAGCCTCCTGGTTCAGAAATAGCATTGGGATTCAGGATGAAGAGAAATGATCAGCTCCTGCAGAAGCTGTGTAAAAGGCTGTCACCCGGATTAACAGCAGAAGGTGTGCGGGATATGCCTGGCCATGCCGCTGACCTTGTCCATGGAAATACAAGGCATTTACATTGAGATAGGCAGGCAAAACAGACTCGGTGGTCACCTGGTAAGCCACGGTCCACTGAGTGGCCCCAGACACCCGCAGAAAGAGCAGCTGTACTGCTGTTTACTTAAAGAACAAGGTAACAGATCCTCCCTCAAGCATTAAAGATTTGAGCTGAGTTTAGGAGACTGATTCATTTTGTTTTTCCCTGAGCAATCTTACTTACCTAGTGATTGCCTCTTGCTCCTTGAAAAACATCTGTTCTTGCAGATTATACGAACTTGTGAAACTTATCCATAAAATGGAGCTCTGCTGTAAATGTAAAGAAGTGTCATATTGTTTATTATGTGGAGTGAAAAACATAACTTCCAGAAATTACTGAGAGAGAGAGAGAAAGACAGACAGACAGACAAACAGACAGACAGACATGGGGGGAAAGTCACCAATAGAGAAGAAAACAAACCCAGTTAGTGGAGCTTTACAAATTGATTTTAAAAAAGAACTAAAGAAACTTTGTGAGTTCAAGGAGGATGTGACCCAAAAGTTCATGGATCTGTCATACAAACTGATCCATGTGTTATGGGAGAAACACATAAACAATTGGAAGACCTGACTAAAGTGGATCAGAACATGAGTGACCAATTTATCACATCACAAGACCAGGATTTTGTTGTTAAGTGAATTTTGGAGGATCTTGATCAGAAAAAAAGTGTGACGGGTCCTGGCACTGGCAGCTTTAGAATCTAAATTTGCCATCTTTTCTCTTAACCTGAATTTTTTTTTTTTTATCGGTGCTGGGGATCGAACTCACGACTGCCTGCTTGCAAGGCAGGTGCTTATGCCACTGAGCTAAATCCCCAGCCCCTCTTAACCTGAATTTAAAGGCAAACTTACTCTATTCCTAGCACACATGAAGTTGTATTTCCCTGCCTGCCTACCACAGACTTTCCTGTCATGTGTTTTTTAAGGTGTTGCTTCTCTTTTTGAATTTCCTTCCTTCCAGGCCAGTTCTGCCTAAGCTGCAAAGTCTTGACGTGCCCAACCCTTCCATTAACAAAAACGTTGAGCTCTTTTCCCGTTTCTGCCTTGCTGTTTGCAGCCACCATGAACTGCGGCTCTGCCATGACAGCTTGCCTTAGAGCCAACTGAGGATGGACTGAAACCTCCAAAAACTCTCCTGTCTCATGGTGAGAGAAAAAAACATTTCGTTCTTCCTAGAGGAAAACAAGCAGCTCCAGGGGACTTCAGGGAAAAACGCATCAGCGGAATGGAGCAGTAGATGCTATGTGCTGCAAGATCTGGATAGTACCATCAATATTTTGTTGAACAGAAGTAGTAAGAAATATACCTTAGGGAGGGGCGAAGATGGCAGATAGATAACAGCTGGCTACAGAGGCTCCCTGAGATAGTCAATTTAGAATTCAACATAATACAGAGTGGGGAGCCCCAAACAGAGGGAGATGAATTCTCTCGTCCCAAGAAGAAACTAAGGTGAGAGGAACCAACCAAACATATAGTGCTGGTGCTATTATTGGAACAGCTAAAGGTTCAGTGTTCCCACCGCAGCGGGCAACTTACCCAGGTGTCCGAGGTCCTCCTGCTTCAACTCACTGGAGGCACAGTTGCGTCGAGGTAAGGGGTCACCAAGCCAAATGGAGAGCTGAGTTGTCAGGATGCCAACTAATCGACCTGTGGTGAGTGATGGGAGTGAAAACACTCCACAGAAAGGGGGCTCCGGCAAAAGACATTCTGGGACTGGGCAGGACTGGCAAGTACAAGGGGCAGCAGTGACTTCAGTCCTCTTCCCTTCCCAAACGGGATTGGTGGAGTGAGCTAGGCCTGGGTCATATGACACAGCTGAGACCAAATAGGTTATCTGAAATCGAGTCCCTGCAGCAGTGGCACACACTAACCACACTGGCCCAGTGGGGCCTCTGAGGTTTGGCTGGTCTGGAGGGGAGGCGGAGCAAAGTAATACAGTCATTCAGGCCACAGCAACTTGACTGATCTGGAGAGGAGGGGCCAGCATATGCTGTCCCTGTCTGCAACTCACTAGCACACAGCAGTGGGAAGGGTCATCTTGCCAGCACACTTCAGAAGAATTGTAACCAACAAAGAAAGTAACTGGGGCCTCCTGGAAGAAGCAAAAAAGATGGGAAGAGGAAGCAACAATAAAAAGTCCCCAGGTCCTAACCCTGAGAACATGGACCCAGGACAGGTAAATACAAAGGAGAATGAGAACAGCAAACATGCAATATCAGACACAACGCCAGTGAACATAAAGAGATATATTCGGGACCTCATAGACGAGTTCAAAAGTGAAATATTTAGCCAAATAAAACAAGATATAAGAAGTTTAATAAAAGAGATACGAAGCACGCCTCAAACAGACACAGACGGAAGAAGCAAGGAACTCAAACAAAGGAGAGAACCACTTGGTGAAATATATAAAAATATATAAAATACATAAAGCAGATTCAAAGAGATCACCAGGAAATTAAACTCTATGGAAAGATGGCAAATCAACTTGAAAGAAACAAAAGATAGATTATCCAAACTGGAGGACAGTTTTGCAATGTGGGATTATGAAAGAGAAAACTTTTTAAAAATAACAAGCAAACAAGCAGTAACAATACAAAGGCTAGAAGACAACAAAAGGATCTATAACTTGAGAATAAAGAATGTAAATGAAGAATCTGGGATACAAACAAAGGAACTACAAAGGTTATTCACAGAAATAATTAAGAAAAACTTCCCAAACATTGGAAAAGGAAATGATATTCTGATATATGAGGCATACCTCACCAGCCACCTACAACCACAACAGAGCTACACCCAGGCATATACTAATCAAGATCCCACAAATTCAATATAAGAACAGAATATTAAAAGCTGTTAGAGACAAGAAACAGATCACCTATAGAGGAAGGCCCATCAGAATAACAGCAGACTTCTTGACACAAACCATCAAGTCAAGAAGAGCCTGGAGCAAAATATTCCAAGCCCTGAAAGAAAATAACCTCCATCCCAGATTGATATATGCTGCTAAACTGTCTCTAGAAATTAATGGAGAGACAAGATGCTTCCAAGACAAAGAGGAGCTTGGGACCACCAATCCAACTCTATAGAGAATACTGCAGGGCATTCTAGAGAGAGAGAAAAGTACTAGGATTCCAGAAACAGTGGCAGAGAAGTCTCAATGAATGGAGCAGAAAACAGAATGAAGAAGATAAGCAGACAACTGATGGCAAAAAAAAAGAGCATAACAGAAATGAGGTAGAGAAGATTTTATTCAAAACTGATATGATTGATAGTATCAAGTCTGAGCGTTTAGGCAACTACACTGAAGACGGCAAGACTCTACCATACACATTCTGGTTTGATAACTGCCAGTTTTTGAAGTTCTATACTATATAAAAGTTGTGTTTTTATTAATACTGTTATGTACTGATATATTCAATTATACTATGTCTGATGATATAGCCAATAGAGATGTTATCTCTATTGGAGATAACAAGAGACAACACAGGAACCATAGTAGAACTCTTTGCACAATGGTCTTATGTTTTTTTTTCATTTCATATGTTTATAGAATTATGTTTTGTTTTGTCTTTCTTTGTTTTGTTTCTCCCTCTAATATAGAAAGGATAGAAATACATGTTAAGACTATGCATGTGTAGAATCTATAAACAGTTTATGAGAACTGATCATATGACACATGATGAAATGAACAGATACTTTGAAGAGCACTAACATACCCAGTGCTGATCCTGGAGTGTCATAAGGTGACACCCAACAATAGTATTATTCTCTGTTCAGAGTGATATTAGCCTGCTTGGGTTTATTCAATCTCAACATAATTGAAGATATGGATAACTGCATGTATGTTTAAGTGTATAGGACTGATAACCATATTTCTAAGTTTTTGTTGGATAGTTGAACAGAACTGGTTGCAACCTCACTGTTTGATTCCCTACTCTATATGCTCCACTTTAGTATCTTGAATAACTATTTGTAAGAAGTCAATCTGTAATCATCAACTAGTGACTTCTTACTGTTTTTTTCTTTGAAAGTATGTATTATTTCTACCCATTTTCTGTTTTGTTTAGTCTTTCTTTAAATTAAATTTTAAAAAAGACACTACAGTATCCAGTGCTGATCATGGAGTGTCATGATGTGAAATCCAGCAATACTATTATTCTTTGTTCAGAGTGATATTAGCCTGTTTGGGTTTATTCAGTCTCAACATAAATGAAGATATGGATAACTGCATGTATGTTTAAGTGTATAGGATTGACAGCCATGTTACTAAGTTTTGTTCGACAGCTGAACAGAACTGTTTGCAGTCTCACTGTTTGAATTCCCACTTTACATGTTCCATTTTTGTATCTTGAACAACTACTTATAAAATGATAATATGTAAACATCAACTAGTGATTTCTTACTTTTTTTCTCTGAATGTATGTATTATTTGTACCTATCTTCTGTTTTGTTTAGTCTTCTTTAAATAAAATTTTAAAAAAACCTTGGTGACAGTTTAAACAGTATTGCTTAGGAATTTAAAAAAAAAACAAACTTCAAATTTGAAACTACCAAAGTTACATTCATATGGATCCTCAGAAAGTGTTGAAATACTTGTTAACAATGCTAAAGCTTATATTTTATATATAATATAAAGGTAGCATAAATACAGATGACATATGACATAGAAGTATATATTTAAAGGTTATCAGAAAATGCAACAAACTTAACAGTAGCTAAGTTGGGGGTTAAGATTACGAATGATTTAAATATTCTTTACGTTTTATTTACTTTCTAAGATTCTATGGTAAATATTCATTACAAGATTCAGGTCAGAACAACCGGTAACTGATGTAGACCTTAGGGGCCGTGTGACAGCACTGTCCGCTGCACAGAGGCCCGCTGGTAGGAAGTCTGTTCTCACCCCCAGGCTTTTGTCAGAGCAGGACACCGACTCAGCCTCCTCCCTTCTACTCACTTCCCTGCTGCTGTGCGGTATGTCACAGTGGGGTTTTGACTTTCTTTGTAAATGATGCTTTTAGATACTTAGGTGAGCTGAGGAAATGAGATCTGTCCTGCAGTAAGGCACCGGGTGGAAGTTTTGAAGATGCACCCACTCAGCTGGCCGTGTCGAAGCATCTGGAAGGCCTAGGTCCTCGCCAGTGCTCACCAACATGGATGACATGGCATCATGGTTTCATGGTGTCACTGAATAACTGTAAAGAGAAGCCAAGGCAAGACTTAAGATCCTGGCACATGTTTGGAAATTTGGTGACTTTGAGATATACGCTGAAATTTACTTCTTTTATTGGAAGGATCCAATCGTCAAAGTTCTGTGAGTGCCCCACCATAGTATTTGGCATGTATTGGATACCTAGCAAATGTTAGTGAACCTAAATCCCTCCTATGCATGTCTGTCTGTAAAAGACTTAGCACCTGAAAGAGAATATTCTGAATTTATCTTGTGTTGAGAAATGAATCTCTTAGTGTCACAAAATTTGAGATTTAGGCTTTTGAACTATCAAGTAAAGTGAAGCCACTCAGCTAACAAGTGAACTCACAGAGAAAGAGCTCAGGGGGTGTCCACCATGGCTACGCGTTAAACGTTTAGGTGCCTGCACTTATTTTCCTCCCGTAAACACAGCCCTGTAGTTACAACATGTAATACAGAAGTGTAATTTCCCATAGCAAACAGTGCAGGCGTATCCTGAGATTAAGGGTTCATTCCATCCACATCCACCATAAACCTTCGGCACACATCTGGGGTCTGACAACCACTCCCCATCCAAACCTCTGCTACCTAGTGCAGGCCGCTGCCTTCTCGTTCTTTTCGATTATTGCAGAAACCCAAGTGGTCTCCTCATTCCTTCATCGTTCTGCCCTCGTTCTTGACTCCTCTTTCTGACTTCACTATGGCTGCAGAAACACACCAGGCAAGAAATCCTGCTTTTTCCAGGTCGCTCACAGCTCTGACCTACAGCGATGTCTCCTTCAGCTCCTCCACACTGCTCAAGCCCGGTGTCTACATATAGTTTGATACGTGAACAAATGGACAAATGACAGACAAGAGCAAGGATAGATTTTTAGTTTTCAAGTATAATTTGGAAAATAGGTTTTTATGTCTAACATCTATCTTTTAGAACTGCTACAGCTCTGACTTCTCAATTTTGAAAATGAGATTTCACAAAGATTATCATCATTACTGTTATTATTATTATTTTGAGACAGAGTCTTGCTATGTAGTTCAGTCTGGGATTGAACTTGAAGAATCCTCCTGTCTTGGCCACCTGAGTGCTGGGATAACAGATGTGTACCACCACACCTGGCCTCACAAAGATTTTAAAGTTTAAAAAAACTTTTTTTTAAATCTCGTGCTCTACATGGAGCTAGCCTCATCGGCTCATGTACTTATCATAGCCTGAGAGTCGTGCCTAAGGAGACACTCTTGACTTATTCGGCCACCAGATTCTCTTGGTGACACAAAAAACCATGAATGTCACATCTTTTTTAAATTTTTAAACATTTTATTAGTACATGCTTGCAGTACAAAATAATTGCATCCATTGTGAGGAGCTGGTACGTGGCGATATACATTTTATACCTTTTATTTTCCTTTTTCCTCTTTCCCCTCCAGCCTCCCTCATTTCTCACATCTTATCTTGCTCCTGAGCAGAAGTTAAAGTGATAGAGGATGTTACCACCAGCACGACAGGAATGAGCAGCCGGTCACTGACTTGGGTGGATGGTCTTGGAAAACTAATAATTACTTAATAGTTGAAGAGAATGGTATTGTTCCCCTTCTGCTTAATTTAGAAAAACATGGAAGTGGGAATGCATTCTGCCTTATGCCTTATGATATTGATCAACTGAGCATTCATTTATCTGATCATTGCCAATAACTCCAAAGAAACGGGAGATGGTTCAGTTAATATCTATTAATTAGTCCTCCAATTGTGTGAGGCGCTGAGCCATAAGCTACAGTCAGAGCTTCAGTCTGGTCACAGCAGAAATGAAACAATATCTATCCAAATTACGCGACGCAATTCAAACTGCTTGGGGTAGGATTACAAGAGGGAAACAGCTACATCAATGGGATGGCAAATGTCACCTGGCTTGCCGACCCTCTTTTCTTCTGTGTGCCTTTCCTCCCTCCGTGAGCTTTGTACCTTGATGTTCTGGGTGCTGATTCCCACTTTGGGAATCAGTTGCATTCCATCCCTGAGCTCATCTTCAGAGGAAAAAGGCAGAAAATTAATATGCAAATAAGCATGCAATAGTGTATGCTGTGATATAAATAAAAGAGGGTGACGTGGTAGTGACCAAGGGTTGTTCTGGCTAGGGTGGTGCTGGGAGGTTCTGAGAGGTGAGTCAGCCCTGTGGCGTTCCCAAGGTACTGTTTCCCACCATGCTGACATCTAGGGTAAGGCCTGCAGCAGGATGTTGCAGAGATAGTGAACTGGAGGGTGGGATAACTTCTGCAACCGTGGGCCCTTCAGGACCCCATGCTAGGGCTGTTACCAACAGGTACCATTCATGTTGATCATTTTAGTTGCCTTACTGATACTTAAATTCTGACAAAAAATAATATCAAACATAGATATGTGGCAGGCACTAGGCCAAGCACTGTACATAGACCAAGTCATTGTGTCTTCCCAAGGATCCAGTTAAGCAAATATTTTATGATTGTGAAAACCACAAAATTCTTTAGTAGCAGACTTTGATTAGAACCCAGTTCTTTCTGTCTGCAAAGTTTTTGCTCTTGACTTGTAGAAAAGCCAGAGCAGCAGAAAGAAAAGAAAGCTGTCTTAGAAGGCTTATCACGGTCTGTGAGGAAGGGCAGGACCACAGAGGGGAGAGCTGCCCAAGAAGAAAACTGGGGCAAAAGGAAAAAGAAGAGAATATTGAAGCAACTGCCAGCCAGATGCTCTCTGTGAGATGATGCATACACAGGCACTGCTGGTATGTTAACAGCCTAACTGTACCTTCAGTCTTAAATCTTCAAGCACTGGACTCATCAGCCAACAAAGAGAAAGGCAGCTCTTCTGCTGTTCAGCAGGCTCCAATTTTTACTGCTATTATAATTGTTACTAATCAACAACTGTGCTTTGGAAGGTGAGTCTTTCACAGCGCTGGGTATGAAAAGTGCCCAGATCCCTGTAGGCACTGTAACATGTGGGAGGGAGGAGGCTCTTTCCAAGGCTCAGCCACAGGAAAGTCATGAAGTACTCATTTATCTTGTTTTCAGGAGCTATATCCTCTCAAGAGGAATTGTCTGCAGGCCACGTTAATGATGCTGGCATTTGCAGATTTAACATTTAAAATTTAAACGGTGTCTAGCCAACTCTAGAGTGTTCTCCATGCATGGTAATGTGTAATTTTGCTGAGGCATCACTATGAATCAGGTTTGCTGTGAGTCTGATGCATTATCCAGGCTGTGAGCTTTGCTGACTGCCCAGAACCCACTTTTGCAAGAATTTATGCTGTCTCTGAAAGCTAAGTATGCCTGAAGGTCATAGATACATCAGGCCTATATCAACCGTCTTGTGAGTCTGAAATTTCTGCCCATCTAGGGATAAGAGCATGGTCAGCAAGTAGAGAGAGAAACTTTGAAGCAGTAGAATTTGGTAGCAAGTTTCTATACCACACAAGCAACTGGTATATTGCATATGCATTGCTTATGTGCATATGATCCTGGTCCCCAGCAGCAGCCCTTTACCAGGAGGACACAGGTCTCAGCATATAGTTATGCTCATAGTTAAGATTCATTACACTGAAGGGACACAAAGCAAAACCAAAAAAAAAAAAAAAAGCTGTAAGAGGAAAAGTCCAGAGGAACCAAACACGAGCTTCCAGGAGTCCTTTCTCAGTGTTGCACAGGACACACTTAATTGTAGAAATGAATTGTGATGGCATGTGTGAAATATTGAGTACAGCTGACACTCACCTGAACCTTCAAGTCCAGGAGTTTCATTGAGTCCCATCATGTAGGCAGTCACTACACAGCACATTCTAGGCTCACAGAAGGAAAGTTGGTGCCCAGCACAAACTATATTATCAGTACAAACAGGTTGGGTACAGTAAACCACCCTTATCAGATGGGAATGGTGGGAATACTCCCTAACTCCAGGTTCCCAGATGCCAGCCAAAAGGCAGCCTTCCTGGCTCATAGCTGGCCTTACCTGGGCAGCAGTCTCAGGCCTGCTGGGTTAATGCTTTTATGCACATGTATATATGACTAGAATTGCTGGACTTGGGTGCTTTGTGGGCAGTGATTGAAATAATCCTTCTCCTTGATCCTCTCTCAAGTGTTGTACCATGTGACACTTCCTTCTTCTTTTGAATGAATAAATAGTTCTTTTTTGATATGTTAGTACCTTGGGGTGTTGGTACATGTACATCATACATTTAATTCTTTTTACATTCCTTTCCTCTCCCTCTCTCCCTTTCTCCTTCCCCCATCTCACTTTACTAAGAATGAATTGGGCTAGAGAAACAGCTCAACAGCACAGTGCCTGCCTGCAAGCACAAGACCATGAGTTCAATTACTGATACCCAAAAAAAAAAAATTATTCTGTGAACCAGATGGGGGCTACTGTCACTGAAGTAAATACATTTCATTAATAGAAATAAGAAACTATTTATTAATACCTATTAATTAAAATAAGTGCCTCTCACTTACCCCAAATTCTACAAACTCTGTATTTGAGTCCTCTTGCCTCCTGTTCAGCCCACAGAGACTCGGTCCTTGCCATGCTCCAGGCCAGCGCTCCCCTAGCTTCAGTGGTCTCATTGCCACGTGTCTGGATTGGGGAAGCGCCTCATGCCAACCTGGAGTTCATCTGGGGTCCCAGAGGATCTGTAGGTGTGCTTGATGGACAGCCTGAAGTTGGCTATGCCTTTCTGCGAGGGTAGTGTTTGGTACATTCCTGGTTCTGTGCCCCTAGAATCTAGCTCTTGCGATGATGATGATGATGATGATGATGATGTGTTTGTGTGTGTGACAGAGAGAGAGAGACCTCAGGTGCTTCACATCTCTATGCTTTGGTTTCCTCTTCTGTAAACTACAGACTACATACATACATCATGAGATTGTAAGAGTTAAGTGAATTAATGCAGATAAAGTTCTTGAAAAGCAACCTGATGCACAGTAAATTTTTAATACACATTAGTTGCTAATGTTATTGTGGGGATAGTCTATACATTTTATTTTAAAAGCAAACTGGGTTATATCACTACTCAGGTAAAAGTAGCCGTGTCTGTCCTGCAGCACCTCAGGTGAAGTCCAAACCCCTTCATGTGGCTTAAAGGTGCTGGTGATTTAGTCTCAGTCCTTTGAGCCACTTTCTCCTGTTTCCTGAACCCAACCTGTGTGAATTCTTTGTTCCTCCATGTCAGTGAGTTTTCACTCACCAAAGGCCACCCCTTCTTTGAAGTGCCTCATCAGCCTCTGTTCTTTCTTGGGGAGTAGTGATCCTGTTTTTCAGGGCCCAACATAAATGCCTTTTCTTGTGATGGCTCTTTGTATATCTAAACTAGAACCTTCTTTTTTTTGGTACCGGGGATCGAACTCACAACCTCACACTTACCAGGCAGGTGCTTATGTCACTGAGCTAAATCTCTGGCCCTTAGAACCTTCTTTATAGCTTTTATTAGAATTTCTAATTATATATTAGTTTGTGTGATTGTTTAAGGTTTGTATTTCCTCCAGACTATAACCTCCTTGAGGGCAGGATTGTTTTTAGTGCTTATTACATACCTGAAGCATCTTGTATTAATCAAGTAAGTAGGTAAATAAATAAGCAAACCTCTCCAAAGAGTCTATAATTCACCAAATGGTTATAACATATTTCATTGCTCAAACTAATGATCACTTAGTAAAGTTTCACAAAACAAATAAATTTGGGGACAACATGATATTTCATAAATATGCTTCTTGATTGGGAAAAGTTGATCTTAAAAAAATCTTGAAAAAATTGCAGTCATCAGAAGACATGGCTCTAACTAGTCACACAATTGATGGATCATAACCAAGTAGATATTACACTAAATTATGTTGTTTGACATAAACTTATCATTCAATTTAATCAAGCATATATAAATATATATAGAGATTATATATATTCTATGTTGCTTCTATAAGAAAAGGAAATGCATTTATTGAAGGATTTGTATCATGAGTAGGAGATATTTTCTTTTAAAATAGCACAAAAGAATAGAGACTTTTCTCTTGAATACATTATTCTTTGGGAAGAAAACAGAACAGTTAAAGTGAATTTTGACTATTATGCATGAGGATAAATTGTTCTGATAATTTTAACCTCGGGGCCAACTGGGAAATAAGCAGAAGATATTTTGATTTTCTTTGAGAATCTTTGCAGAATACATTAATTACTTTTCTTGCTTCAGTAATTGCAGTGGAGTAAACACAAGTACACCTTGCTGCCATGGCTCCACCCCTGAATTTCAACCGTGACTAAATCATTCTGAAAATCTTGCCTAGCTGTCCAAGCACTTCACCTCTTCCTCTTCCATACATACAAAGTGACAGAAAGAAACCCCATGGAGAGTTTAATCAAGTTCTACTTTTCTGAAGTTTCCAGTATTTCCCTAACTACAAATAGTAAACATAAATGGATGCCGTGAATTTAAGAGTGGAGAACACAGTCTCTACAACTTGCTCAGACGCTATTTATACATATAGCATTGGTCCACTTTCCTCAGAGTGAAGCTTATGCTTTCTGTGCTGTTTGTTGTAGTCAGGGTTTGCAAGGGAATAGGTTTAATAGAGAACATATAATTTATAGGATTATTTTATAATAGTCACCCAAAGAGTCAAATGCAAAAGGGTGCAGATCTGTTTACACACTAGAGATCCAAAGAACCCAGCTGAGGGCCTGGGTCCCACGGTAGTGTCCTGACGAGCCCAGCTGAAGACCTCCATGAGTTCACCTGGAGGTCAACGACAATGTCTCACGCAAGTCGGAATAAAGGATCTGCAATGGAAGGCCCAAAGGTCAGTGGTGGAAACTAGAAAATCTGTGCCAGCGGGATGAAGGATCTGTGCCAGCAGGCTAAGAGATCTGCCCTGGAGCCAGGAAGTGAAGCTCAAGGTAAGGATCAGAGCTTCCCCAGAGAGAACTGCAGCCATCCGCAGTGACAGTGAGGACCTGGCTTCTCTGTCGATGAGAACAGCTAAGTTCAAATCAGGAAAGCCAGTGTGACAAACCTCTCCAGGAGGATTAACAGCACACAGTCTTCCCCTCCATTTCTGCTTTTCTGCTCATGCTGGCAACAATCCCCAGGTGGGCTATTCACACCCAGCATCTTTCTGATTCACTTCAGCTGGGTGTTACAAGTTGCCAGTTAGTTAACCCACCACACTGTTCTTTATCACTTCTAGCTGAAGCCCCCATTCGCCTCCTGCTCTTGAAATTGAATCAGTCTTTCTTGGAATAAATATGTTGCTGGCAACCTGAAGCTGCTTCTGGAAACGTTAAAGCCTTCAGCAGCTCTTCGAGTGCTGAGGCTGAGCAGCTGTTCCCTGATGGGGACATGGCAGCCTGGGGTTTGCAGGGACTGATTCCAAGGCAGTCTTGGTGTGCAGAGCACAAGGGTGGGGGGGGAGGAGAAGTCACTGCATCCAGGGCTGAGGCCCCTCCTCAGCTGCTTTTCTCCCCAGCATCAGCTTGGTTCAAAGCAGGCCAATTCTAAAACCCAGTGGCAGGGCAGGGTGTTTTAGGCAAATGGCTTCTGCTCACACCTCCCCTGTATCGGGACCGTCATTGTTCAACTTCCTTCATGTATATTCTACTTTCCAAGTTTTGACCTCTCCATGTGATACTTGCAGTATTAGTTGATTTTTTCTCTCGGGTGACTTTTAAATGGTTTTATTTATTTAAGAAACTGATAATTGCCCTTACTAAACTAGGAATATCCATTCTCATAGATATTAAGCTGCCGCCTGCTGAAGGCCTTGAGTAGAGGTTCATTATCTCTTTGCTGAAAAAGGAGAAAGCCAACAGCACAGTGTAGCAGCCATCTGACATGCTGTCCATGTCAGTTTGGAAAGATAGAATTGAATAAAGATTAACTTACGCCCTGAGAGTTCAGGTAATTTAATGTCTTCCTTGTCTCTCTCTCAAATCACTGTGTAGGGCCACTTCCCACTGTGAAACAATAGACTAGAGATTTATCTTTGGCTCTCCTTAGCCTTATCTACTGTCACCGTTCAGTCTTTAGCTGCCAGGAGTCTAAAGCTAGGAGCACCCTCCAAATGAAGGGTTCGGCTCAGTCACTGCAGTCATCTGTGTTCTCTCTGTGCTCTGCTATGACATGACATGTGTGCCTAAAAATCAGGTGCTATGCAAAAAAAAAAAAAAAAAAAATCACACAGTAATCACCATATGGCTTTTGGTTAGAGATACGACACTCAACAGCTTCATCGGTGACACAGTTTAAAAAACAGGAGCTCATAAAAATATTACTACAGTTTTAATCTGTCTTAAGTCAAAGAAACACAAAAAACTGCAGTAAACATGGATCTTGAAAAAGACCTGACGTTTGTCTGTGAACATGAGCTGTTTTTACTCCCCTGGGAGGAGGATTATCTGATGTCCAAGGGCAAGTTCTGACACCAGATGTGGAAGAATGGGGGCCATCACCCTCAAAGCGCAAGCCTGTGTGCGCTTGTATTCCTGTACACAGCTGGGGAAGTTTTATGTGTTCTTGTAGGATTTCCTGTGGACAGTCGTGCACAGCAAACAAATTTGCATTATGCTCATATTGTTTCTCATTATTTCAAGCTAGTTGAAAGAAATGCGTTTTAAACCAAATGTTACAATACAAATTATTATAATTAGAAGAGTGGGATAAAATATTGTGATTTTAATATACATTTCCCTAATCATTAATGATGTGGAACATCTTGTTTTGTACAACTTGAATTTGTGATTCTCCTGCCTAAAATTCTGGGATTACAGATGTGTACCAGGCTAAAACTTTCAGTTTTGTTTTATAAATGTGTTTATTCAATGCTGAAAGCATTTTTGTGTTCCATCTTAGAACTTTATGAAAACTCAAGGAAAGACAAAGATTTTTTCTGTATTTCTAGAGCATTGTATCTTTCTTTAAAAAATGCTACTGGTAATTTGACTTAGATTGCCTTAAAGCTATAGATCAACTCAGAGAGAAATGACTTTTCAACAATACTAAGTATTCTAATTCACAAACATAGTTGATCTCTCTAATTAGGTCTTTGATATCATGTATTAGTAGTTTTTAAATTTCAAATGAATGTCCTCACATAGTTTGTTAAATACATATCTGTCCACTCAGGAGAACACAGGTGAAAGCCATGTCCAGGCTTAGTGTTCTGAGCAACAGTCTTCCTTGGGAGACTGAACCTGAGATCCTGTGGAAAGAACCAACTTTTGGATGCAATCAGGAGTTATTTCCCCAAGTACAGTGCTTAAGGGACCAAAACATATTCAGTTTAAGAGAGAATCACCAATCTCCTCTCTCCCTTCCTAGGTCTGGTTCTCATCATTTATGTATGTAGGAAAGGAAAATACTTTTGCCAGTAAGTTGTAAATTCTAAAACCTTCACTGTAAACTTGTAAACTATGTAGTGGTTGTTGGGCTGTGCTAGCTTAGACTTTTATTATTTCCTATAAAAAAAAATAAAGAGTAGTTTGGGACAAATCTCTGGTAGTATGGAACTAGTTGTAAGCTGAGAGGATGACTGAGGGTCATGGCCAGGGCCACTGTCTGGCAGACACGCAAAGGTTACTCAGGGGAAACCAAGTCCCCACAGCCCAACTGCAAATCTCCACTCATCTACCATCCCCATCCCCATCCACACTCCTCAGGAAGTCAGAAGTAACTCTTTCAGTAATCTTCTGGTATCCTCTGTCCCAGAATGACCAGAGATGATGCTGGTGGATTCCTTTCTCAAAGCTTCCGCTGAGAGCTGAGCCACAGATTTGGACTTCTCTCTGCTAGTAAGTTAGAAACTCCAGTTTTTCTCTAACTCCCTGGGAGTTAACTTTAGAACCACCCTGTCATTAGACCAATCTTCCCTCCAGAAATTAGGCTGAGATAGCTTGCAATAACTGCTTGCCTTTCACAGAGAAAAGCAGCTATCAGGAGAATGATTTGCATTTGTGCCTTGCATAGCTGAAAGAGATTTTAGTCAGCCTTTCTCCTCTCTCATGTGCGTGTAGAAGGCTGATACTTGTGTCTTTACTAACGTGAATTGTGGCTGCTAGTGACAGATACAATTTTCACCTGTGAGTTTCAGAGACATAAAAGTTTTAGAATGAACTTGAAAAAGCATAGCCGTGTCTTGCTGCTAGAAAAAGTTACTATCTGGGCTAGAACACCCAGAGAGTTTTTTTGCAGGTGAGGTCCCCAAGGCAAAGAAAGTATGAAGAGACTTCAGCAAACAATAGCAGCAGCACAGAGAGGAGCTGGTTCTTGTTTAACCCACATACATGCCATTATCACATATTTACATTCCTGTATACTGACTTAGCTGTGCTGTGCGGGCGTGGTTAGCTGTGCTCAGTCATGATTATGTAAGTGTATCCTGCTGTGCACCTGCACAACACAGCAAGTTCCCCCGTCCTTACATGCATGCCCTCAGGGGCCTCAGGCTTTGAAGCACTCCTGACAAGACTCCCCACATCCCACCCTTTTAAAACTTGGGTGCATGTTGCCTCTTGTAGGCCCCATAAAGCAGACCAAAGACCACAACAACAATAAAGGGAACAGCAGAACACTACCAACCCTGTTGCGTCACAGTACAGCTTATGGTATCAGGAGGATCCCGAGGATTTCCACCACTGGGTGAGAGCGCTCTGCTGCAAGGCTGGATGGCAAATACTGCTGCATCCACCTCTTGAAGGCTTCTTGTACCTGTGTCTGGTGGCCAGGGTTATAAATGCAACATTCACATGGAAGGGGCACATGTACTTCCTTTCACTATACTCAGCAAATTGAGAGCCATGTGGTTTCACAAAACCACCTTTCTCACTTGAGAAGTCTCATCCATGAGCAACATCAAAGCCTGATGCATAGCATTTAAGGCCTCAGCCATATGTTGAACAAGAGTTTCAACCTGGAGGGCTAGGTCTATAGTCCCTGCCCCTGGCATCAACAAGGACATTGGATAAAGCCACCAGGCCACCCTGTTAGTATGGTGCCACCTGTGACACAGTGTCAATTGTGGGGTGTATTGCTAATGGTGGGTCTGATAGTGTCCTTAACATATTCCCAGGTACAGCACCCTATCCAGTGAGTTGGTAGGTACTGCCAGCCTGTGGTGCCACAGACCCATAAGGCTTCTGTGACGTACCAATGGGAGCACCGTACCTATGAGCTTATGGCCATCCCATCAGCGCTGGTGTCATTTACCAGTAACATATGGTTCCACAGGTCAGGGGGCAGCCACCCTGCAGTTTAGTTTCCCAATGACACATTCACCTGTTGAATACGCATTCCCATCATCCACTCCCAGCCACTATACATAACAGGTCCCAGACCCTGCAGGGTGGTCATGCTCCTCTAGATCAGTGCCTGGACGGCCTGGTGTCGCTGATCCTAGCAGTGCCTTCCAGTTTTGTTGCCGCTGGTCAGTCCAATTGAGCAAGGATGCTGGTGTCACTGATCCTCGGGAGGCCCTCAGCTGCCTCAATTCAAGGCACACCCAACAATGGGATTGTTGGTACACATGACCAAACATGCGTGCCCATGAGATGACACTGTCCCTGTGGCTCATCCTGCTCAGAGGACAGGACAAAAAGAGAAACCATTAGACAGAGATTCTGCCCTTCCACAAGAATGCAGGCCACGTGTTCATCCGTGAGAGGATTGTGGCCAGAATCAGCTTACTCCTGGTTTAGATTTCCACACCTGGGTTCCTGTTGCTGCCACAGCTAAAGGAGTTGGGGCTAAATCCATGCCTGCCCACCCCCCACGGGTGAATGGGCTACACAATCACTCCCTTTCAGAATGGTGGCTCCAGCACTGGGCAGAGAGCACACCAAGGCCTTCAATAGCCAAATTGAAGTCCAGGGTCATATTTCTATAGCACGTCTAAGTCTTTCTTCACAGTGCTCCAAAAGGAACACCCAGTTGCCTACCATAGGGTCTGTGGGCCAATCCCAAGTCCATTAACAGTGATCTCCTCAGCTGCGTAGGCTTCAGAGTGTGAAGATTAGGGCCCCTTTCATCACCCCAGGATAAAACCACTTGTTCTGTGGGTTGAATACACAGATGGACCAGCTGCACTTTTAGGAGACAATCCAATAGGCTGTTACCTGTATGTTGGGGTTGACTTTAAGCAACTAAAATGCCTGGTGTAAAACCTGTACTTTCCACTTGATGAACTTCAGAGCTAAATGGGCCAGTCTGGTTGGTAGGATCCCATTGTACCTCTCAAACCTGCCAGAGGTCTCTAACCTACAGAGCACATGGAAGTGCCATGCGACATCATTGTCTTTAGCCTATTATTGTACTTGGGCCCACAAAAAGGGTTTCCCTATCAGGTGTTATTCCTAGCAGCATTCCAAGTGCAGATGC